AATTAGTATGTGTATATATGAATTTTAAATCCAATTTAAAACTGTCACGACATTATGTTGATTGGAAAATGTTGTTCGAATATCTACATTATTGTGTGCATAGTTGAGCATGAATCATAATAGATATTGGAAACATGTTAGTTTTGTGGATGAAGAATATGTAGTTTCCTTCTTGGTGAACAAGCTGTTATGTAGTTATCTGAGTTGACACACAAAAATAAGCTCTTCTTTGAAAGTCAAGATACTTGCTCTGAACTTAAGGTGCAGTGATGCTTAGAAATAATTAAAGTTGGCTCTATTTATTATCTTAAATTTTCTGTAAGTTGATAGTGGAGTTCTGATACTAACTTGTTCAGATATCTACCAATCAGTAAATGTGTGCTTCTTATTTATTGAAAAGCCTTTGATTTCATTTCTTAAGCACTAATTCTCAGCTTCTAGTTTTTGTCACTTTTCTCTGATTGATATTTTATTGTCTGCTTTCCTTATTTGTTTAGTTGACGGCACTGAAGTCCTGCCATGATCGCAACATCATCCACAGGGATATCAAACCTGGTGAGGACATTTTCTATCCTAAAAGTTTAGCTGGTTACACAGAATATGAACTTGCTAATCTATTCAGTCTTTGCAAAGATATTAGTTAACTGACACAGTTTCTAAGTTCCCGATGTTCTTATTCTGTGAGATTGTAAGTCTTTTCAGAAAGCACTAGATTGAGCGCCTTTGCGTCCATAGTGTTAACTGATAAAACTCAATATTTCCCCATTGCATAAACATTGTGGAATCTGTGGGTTGTTGTGTGGGTTTCCAAATAACCACACACCTTCATGACAATAAGCCTAGGTTGGCTCTACTATAATTCGAGTATCTTCGTTTAAGAGATGTTAGCTTCAGTTGGTTTCGGGCTTATTCTTGCTACTGAACTCCTCTCATTTCCAGTCTAGATGTCGGATATCAGTTATGTAAGAATCATTGGTAAACCACAGTGTATAATATGTTCCATTTGTTTATTGAGCTTCATGCCTCCCTTTTGCACTCCATGATGGCACAATACTCTCTAAGCAGATGTCCTGCATCTCTCTAGCTGTACAATTTGACCAAAGAGGTTGGACCAGATGTATTGATTATCAAAGTTCATGACAATTTTATGCTCTTGTGATATGTTGTCTACCAAAATGAAGTGTCAGTTTGGTATGCAAATAGCATGGTTTTGTATATATGTATCAACTCTCTCATGCTTATCATTTGCTACCTTAATGCAAAAAGTGATGCAATAAAGCTTTCTTTAACCAACAAAAGGTATTTTTACTTTTGTGGAGCCTAATAAAATTGCTTTCTTTGATGTCCTCATTTTTCAGTGGACAATTATTGACTGCTTCATGCCCATTTCAATTGGATCTTCTAGGAATAAACATGTCTTTAATCATTCTATTATTATATTATAAATTTCATGTAATGTTCTTGTAGATTACATATTATGAAGAATTTTCTATCTGAAGGTTTTGCTCACTTGAGGTGCTCTTTCTATATCTTTGTGAAGAAAACATGGTGATATGCTTTGAAGATCAAGAAACAGGGAGATGCTTAAAAGGAGCTCCGAATGGAGATAAGCCCTTCAACACCAAAATGTACTATGAAGTATTTTATGCTCTTGTTAAATTCCACAATTTGCTTTTATTGTTAATTAATATCCTTTTTTGATAGTTTCAAGGATTTTTGGTTCCATATTCTAAGTTTTTTTATTAGGGGTCATATGATTTATTCTAACGGGG